GTCTCCCTCCAGCGCAGCTCCCCCGGGGTGAGCACGAAGACGTCCTGCAGCACGTTGAAGGGGAAGCCGTCCTCGGGGTGCGAGCAGAGCAGCTGCGCCTTCAGGAAGGTTGTCCATCGCCGCTGCAGCACGCGCTCCCCGCCCTGGTCCCCCTGCGAGGCACAGCGGTCAGGGCATGATGCCACGGCCGCCCGGCAGCGGGGAGCCCCGCTGGGCTGGGCGAGCGGAGCAGGGGTCTGTCTGTCCGTGCAGCAGTGCTGAGGCCCCAGGGGAGCAGCCCCGGTGTTGGGGAGGCACAAGCAAAGCAGCGTCTGAGGTGCCCAGGGTAAGGGAAACATGACCCAAGAGGAGGACGGGGCTCGTGTCCCCTCTGGAGAGGGAGCAGAGAAGATGGGGAAGGGTCACTGCCACCAACGGGGCTGGCGGGAGCAGTGGGCTCTAGCCGCAGCCCTGGGCCGGGCGCTACAGAGCCATAACTGCCCTGGAGGGGTCTCCCATGGGTGCTGGTCCCCTCCTGGGGTGTCCAGGAACCGGGGGACGGAGATGTGCAGGGTGGTCCCGCATCCCACCCCCGCCCTAGCGGTGAATGGCATCCTGGGCATGGCCTCCCCACACCCCGCCGCTGCCCCGCGCCCACCTTGCACACGCGCGCGATGCGGGAGACGATGGTGTTCTCAAAGTAGTCGAACTCCTTGCCGGTCTCGCTGAAGAAGAAGTAGACCTTGTCGTCGTCGCCCTCGGGGTTGCCGGCGGGCAGGCTCTCCAGCAGGTAGGCTGAGCCCACGAAGACCGGGTCTGGGGACACAGGCACCCTCAGCATCACCCCGCCGCGGGGTATAGAGACCCCAGCCCACCGTGCTGGCCCCGGCTCTCACCTTGCAGCCAGTTGAGGGAGTTCTCCGTCTTGAGGGCGATGCGGCTCTCCTGGCTGCGGTAGATGGTCGGCTCATTGCCCTGGAAGTTGCTGACAGTCCCGGCATAGAGCTCGCCGTCTGCCAAAGAGACGCTCCCGCTGGGACCCGGCACGCGCCGTGCGGCACAGCCCCACTCCCCTGCCAGGGTCCCTGCTGGCCTGGGCCCGGTTCAGCCTGGCCGAGCGGCCGGGCGCTGCAGAGAGGGCGAGGGTCCCGGGGCGGCATGCCTTACCGACCATGACGGCCGTGGACCGGTACTCGGGGTCGAAAGGGCAGCGTCCCTTCCCGTCCTCCAGCAGCACCTTCCCCGACTTCTCCCGCTCCAGGCTGAAGCGCTGCACGTTCTGCAACAGGACCCGGCTGTGAGCCGGCAGCACCGCCAGCACCCGCCCCAGCGCCCGGGACCCCCGCTGCTGGGCGCCGACAGCAGAGGGGGAGACTGCACCCCCAGCGGGACCCACGGCCCCCAGCCCCGCTCCCCGTGCTCACAATGTAGGCGCAGGCCGGGCTGAAGGCGCAGGTCCCGCAGGTGTAGAGGTGGGTGCTGTTCAGCTGCAGCAGGATCTTGATGTAGTTGTGACAGTCCCTCTGCAGGGGCGAGAGGACCCGGCTCAGCCCTCCTGCCCGCACGCACCCCGGCACAGGGCACTGCCCGCTCCTGCCACAGCCCCCAGACGCCCGCTGCCAGCGGGGCTCACCTGGGGGTCCTTGCCCTTGAACACGCACTGCCTCTTCTTCTCCTCATCCGCGCTCCACGGCAGCTGCAGAGAGGGGACAGTCACTGCGAGCCCCCCGTCTCGTCCCCACACACCGCCCCGCTTTGGCTGGCAGAGCTCGCCCCCGGCATCAATGTCCTCCCCACCTCAATCGTGCTGGCAAGGCAGCCGTTGGTGGGGGCTGAGCACCCCGCTGCCCGGGACGGCCGGGCCAGCTGCCTCTGCGCCATCCTGACCGGCTCCCGAAGGTGGGGCGGCTTGCACAGACCCCAAACACTGCCGGGGAGGGGACCCTCTGCACCACAGCCGGCTCGGTGCCCCCCTCCCTCCCGAGGGCAGTCCAGCCCCAGCTCAGCCCCGGGGGCTCCGCGGTCCCGCGGGGGGCTCGCCCCCGCCTGTGGGCTCACCCTGCGAGTCGGCGCCCCGGGCTGGAGGTGGCTGGTGTTGACGGCGAGGAGCAGCTCACGTGCCCCCAGGTAGAGGGTGCCGCCATCCGGGCTCAGCAGCAGGGCCGTGTAGTTGGACACGCCGGGCACCTCGAACCGCTGCACCACCCGCTCAGCTGAGTCTGGGGAGGGAGAGCGACGGGCATCAGCCTCACGCAGCCCACGCACCGCAGCACCTGGCCCCCTGGGACCCCGCACCACGGCTCGCTCCTGGCCCCTCACTCGGCCCCTCCGCTTGGAGCTGCCAGGGCCGGATCCGGCTCTCCCCACGCGGTCAGGCGCACGCAGCAGTGCACCGCAGTGAACTGCGCACGGCCGCGATATCACCCGAGGGCAGCCTCCGCACTGCTGCCAGCATGAGCCACCGCCTTGTCCTGGCCCCGGGGATGGCCCCAGGGCACGCCGCAGCAGCCCTGCCCGCACTGGGCACCACAGCCAGGTCTGCGCTCATCCGGCCGCACACAGTCCCCGGGGCTCAGCCCTGCGGCACGGGTGGCCCAGCCCAGCCCGGCCCCACGGGGACCCCGAGCTTGCGGCAGGGAGAGACAGGTGCGGGGACTGGCTGCCCACCCCGGCCCACGGCCCACCCCGTGCCGGACGCCGGGGCAGAGGCTGCCGGCTGAGTCACAGAGCGCCCGTGCGCCCGTCCCGCGTGGGTGGCCTGTCCCCGGAAGCCCTTCCTCTCCCGCAGCCGCTCTGAATCAGATGGGCCGGGCTGTGTCAGCGGGACACGTCGGGCTGACTCACGCTGCCAACTCCCTCACCCCTGACCCCCCGCGCCCCGGGGATGCTCCGACCTTCCCCGACCCCCTGCCTGCTCCCGGACCCCTGCTGGGATGGCCCTGGGGCTCCCGTGAGCCCCCACTCGGTGCAAGCCACCATGGGGGCTTGAAGTGCTGCGGTGCCGGCAGTGCCGGCAGTGCTGCGGGGCCGGACTCTGCTCCTCTCCCCTGTTACTCAACGAGCCCTGGCTGCTGCCAGACCTGGATGGGGTGGCATCTTCCCCGTCCCCAGGGGCTCAGCTGGCCCCTGGCCCAGCACCCGCCCTGGCTCTCCTGCAGCCGCGCAGAGGGAGGGATGCCGGACCCCAGGGCATCCTCCTGTGAGGGGTCCTGTGCCCCAGCACCAGGGGGATGCTGCCCACGGCGGGCACAGCCCAGCACAGGCAGCAGCGGGGCAGCGGGGACCCCTGCGCCCCACAGAGCTGACCCAGCCCAGGGAGCTGCAGGAGCCTGTGCCGGCTGCCAGGGGACCTGTTAGGACAAGACCTGCTTCTTCCAGACAAACCTGCTGGAGGCACATCCAGCGCTTCCAGGGGAGCAGCTCGCCAGCTCCTCCCTCCCACCAACTGCAAGCCCCGCACAGCTCCCCAGGAGCCACGGGCACATGCTGCTGTCGGCAGAGCGGCCGGCCCGCGCCCCCCACCCGGCTCCCCGTGGCAGCGCTGGGGGTCCGGGCCGGGCCCCCTGGGTACTGCCCGTGAGCTGCAGCCCCTGCAGCCGAGGCAGCCTCTGCAGGTGGGCAGAACTCGGCTGAACCGGTCTGTACAGGCAGGGCCGGGCAGCGCGGCTCAACGTGGTGTGGCACGGCATGGCACGGCGCCGAGCTGGGCTGTCCTGCTGGCTCCCGGGGCTCCTGTCCAGCTCGGTGGGACCCAGATCTGCTGGTGCCGCCACAGCCGTGGCCAGTGGTCACGGGAGCACGTGGCAGGGCCACGTCCACGCCAAAGAACCGCAGTGTGCTGAGCCAGGGAGCGCTCCCAGCTGCCCGCGCCTCGCTGCCAGAGCCGGCCCGGCCCAAACCACTGCACCCTCCCAGGCTGCCCAGCCGGCAGCCAGCATGGGACGGGGTTTAGCCATCTTCTCCTGGCAGTGCAGCCAGCCCAGACACACATGGGCGGCCCCCACCACACCACAGCCCCAGCGCCGGACGATGGAGCTGGGCCCAGCAGCTGCCGGTGCTGAGCCCGAGCTGCTGGTGGAGCGTGCCCTGCTGCCCACCCCAGGCCAGCTGCCGGGGGGCTCTCTGCAGGGTGAGAGGGGTCTGCAGGCCAGGACCCCCACTTGCGAGGGCCGAGCAGCCTCCCGGCTGTCCTTCCCCGGCCCTGCCCCAGCGCAGCCCCGAGCCCTGCTGGGGCCACGCTGCTGATGGGGGCTGCAGCGGGTCCGGGAGCAGCCCGAGGCCAGGCACAGGACAGCAAGGGGCTACGCAGAGCCCCAGGGACGCAGCTGAGAGGGGAGGGGGCCCTAACGAGGATGAAGCCGCATGGCAGAGCCCCACGGCCGGCTCACCCCGTCCCATGCTCGCCTTGGATGTGGCTACCACCGCTGCCATGCGTGCGGGGACACGAGCACCCCTGGGTGCCCCAGACCCGCTCGCACCCTCAGCGCGGGTCCTGATGCAGGGAGGCATGCCTCTGCTCCCCGACTGCCGTGCGTGCAGCC